ATTAGAATATTAATTCTTTAAGAAATCCGACATTAATATATCAAAATATGGCACATATGTATGCAAAATCATACATTAGAAAGAATTCAAACTGATGGTGATTGCTATGAACGGTGTCCCGCTCTTAGTCATTACATCAGACAAAACTCTTTACATGTTTTAAACTAAATTGCTGTAATTGATTTCATTACATTTAATAATAATTTGCTTGGAATGATTTAATGAGGCAACGGAATATGGTAAAAAAAAAGATAAGATGATGTGATAATATTGTTGTGATACAATTCTGCTGGAAATATATAAAGTGAACCCCCCAGCACCAATTATTTCTTACTGCATATTGCAAGTTACTGATTAATTTGCTGTCTATCTTTTGAAGTGTCTACTCCCCAAACAACTCAAATCAAATCAACTCATCCTAAAAGGAACAGTGTAAGATTTAGTGGCATGTAGCAAAAGTGTGTGGAAGAGAACCTGCTCCCTCTGTAGATAAAACCTCTCATTCTGAGGTCACGAAAACACATTCATTCTTATTTTCAGTGATTATACAATAATGAAATCATACCTATGAATATTATATCTCATTTCTGCCAATAGATCCTCCTAAATATTACGCACTGGACCTTTAAATGCAATATTGTTTTCCACCTTCAAAATTAAACTTACACTCCTGGGGTTAAGAGAGGGCCTGCACACTGTGGTTGAGCACCTCCTGGATGATATTTAGAACCATGTAAACGTGTGGTCGTCTCTACAGTCTGCGGGTTGCCCCCGACATGAGAATCTAGCTTTGACCTCGGGTATTGCTCTTAGCTGGCCAATAGCACAGGCGTGAATCCTAGCATCCACAAACAAATCAAACTTTCCTCTAATCCGAGCTCTTCACAGAGCCCCAGGTGTTTCAATGTCAAGGGAGACACTGCAATTGAACCGTTGAACCAAATGAACCATAGCGTTTGCATGGAAAATATGAACTTTGAATATACACTCCTGTTTGGTGGATTTCAAAACTGACAATCTCTATGGTGCTCTGCTAAGGTTCATAGTGTACAGCTGAAATAATGAGTGGAGCCCCTTAACTCACCAAACACATTCCCAGCTTGTATTACTCTACCCTTCTACATCATGAAGAGAAAAAGCAGCATCCAAGCACACAGGGAAAGAACATAAATAGGAGAAAAAAGATGCATCTTATTAAGGAGCATTTCCAGAAATTAACATGTGGGACAAAAAGTAAAAATAGTCTCTTTAGGTTTTTACTTATGTAAACATAGCAAATGATACCTGCAGGTTCTGTCTATATAGCAGATACAGTGAGTCAAGCATGGGCAGTCTGGTAAATAATACTGTGACACATAGGCCATATTATAGTATATATTCTATTATATTATTGATGCTGCCTTTTTTGGCCTTTGGCTGTGAATTTTATTCACTTGATGAGCTGTTTACCTTGGAAAATGAAATGTGGCAGGTAAAATGGCATCTCGAAAGCTACTGTCGCATTCACAGCCTTGTTATAGAACAGAGCTGTGAATGCAACCACTCCTCACATAAATAAAAGTAACACTGGTGGCGTTTATTGAACAGTTCTTGACGACAGCACATTTAACTTTACTGCTCTTTTCTTCTCTTCCATTAGGTGTTGTCAGTGGATTATTTAGATCCTGAATATAACCAGGAAAGTGTTAAAAGTAAAAGTACTCAATAAAGAAAAATGTGACTGTTACACTGTTACTGTATACATTGATCGGCCATAACATTGTGAGTACCTGGGCACCCTGGTGGTCAGAATGTTCTGCAGCCCCATACCAAAAAACTGTGATGCACTGTGTGTTCTGACAGCTTTCTATCAGAACCAGCATGAACTGTTTCAGCAGTTTGAGCTCCAGTAGCTCGTCTGTTGGATCGGACCACACAGGCCAGCCTTCACTCCCTACATGCATCAGTGAACCTTGGCCACTCATGACCCTGTCTCTGGTTCACTGCTTTTCCTTTCATTCCCACCACTTCTGGTGGGTACTGGGTACTGACCACTGCAGACTGGGAACACCCCACATGAGCTGCAGTTTTGGAGATGCTCTGACCCAGTCGTCTAGCCATCACAGTTTGGCCCTTGTCAAAGTCGCTCAAATCCTCACGCTGCCCATGTTGCTTCTAACATCAACTTTGAGGACAAAATGTTCACTTGCTGCCTGATATATCCCACCCACTGACAGGAGCCATAATAACCAGATAATTAGTGTTATTCACTTCACCTGTCAGTGCTCATAATGTTACGGCTGATCAGTGTATATTCTATTATTAGATTATCATTAATCATGCATAGATGTAGAAAGCAGGATTTTAGACGATGAGCTCATTGTTAACTATTTTGTATAGGAGTGCAGTTACTGATCATTTTCATTTTGGATTAAACAGATTAATTTTCTCAATTAAACGATTGTTTGTTTGGTTTATAAATATTCAGAAAATTGTGAGAAATGCCATGTTATCATGCCTGAAGATCATGCCACTAGGTCTTAATTTTGTATGTCGTGGTTACCATTTTCTGTTACTGAAAATCCCCCAAAAAACAGTTTAAATAACAGTGAGGAATGCCATCACAATTACCCAGAGCCCAAAGTGACTTCACAATACTACATTTTCATATGTTTTGAGAGAAAAAGTTTAATTTGTAAAGTAAATAATTGAAGTGGAGAAGAAGTATAAAGTGGCCGGAGAAGAAAACACTCAAGTAAAGTAAAGTGAATTGCTTAGTTATATTAAACCACTGGGTGCAGCTTTGACTTTATATGACTGCCATTTGCAAAATAAATTATCAGTCTAATTTAAATGTATGCACAAGCTCATGTGTTGAGCACAGCTGCTGATAAAAAAACATGTCAAGAGCATTATGGGTCAAAGTGTTGCTGTGCAGGCTTGCTACAAGTACCTATATTTTAAAATAATAATAGCAGCCAGTTGTTGTTGCTGTCATTTTAATTCTGTTATACAGTCACTCCTGCTGTTGTCTGCAGTTTTATAATCCTCTCCCACTTTTAATCTTTTTTTTATATATTTAATATACTGTGATAAAGGTGTGATATAAATCATGATGGTCGATGGCTGTGACTGTTCTAGTGATAATGACTGTTACTCTGATATATTTCACACACTTTGCGTCTAAACTACTACAACTACTACTTATTACTATTTAAATAGTGTGAACTAAAATGCTAAAGATAAGTTCTGAGGATGCATCTCCAGTATGCGAACAGGCAATTTCTTAACCCCAACTCGTACAGCGTTTAAGTTTTCTCAACACCAGCGTGACTTCAAATTGCCTGCAGATCATAGAAATTACAGGAGATTTTAACAGGATCAAATGGCAGGTCATTAAATTCTCTCTTTAGAGGAAAGATTCCAATGACGCAATTGAGGCTACATCGCCCTCTGCTGGCGACCCCTGCGTCCTGCAGGCTGTGTATATCCTCCTGCAGTCAAACATCTGGCATTCAGAACAAGCCACTGACCCAGACCGCAACCCAGGAATAAGCAGAGCCACTCCAGTCTATGGCTGCTGAGGAATCTGTCAGTCAGCAACATTTCAGAGTAAAGCCTTGTCTACTGAAGATCGCATCCATGTGCTCAGTGGCTGAGCTGAGACAGTAAACGAACTGCACTACATGACTGCCACACTACGAGGTAAAGAGATCCTGTTGGATTTTACAGTGCAGGTAGGTCATACTTAAAGACACTCCAACAGGTAATATGTTTGTAGTTAAATGACAGCACTAACCGAAAATACAAAACATAACAGAAAGAGCGGCAAGTCTCAAATTGAAAGGTTCTACTCAAAGGGAAAAATGTTCCAGTACTCCTGAACTCTCTGCAAAGCCCTAGTTGGCACATCAAGCTGCTCCTAACCAAGTCCTGCCTTTCCTTCTCCCCCACAATGTTTGCCATACTTTACTGGAGATATTATGCAATCTCTGGCTATTCCTAAAAAATATTTAAACTTTTAATAAAATGCCAAGAGTTGTCACTGTTTAAGCAATAGTAAAACTGTTCTTCTACAATAATGACCAGTGCATACACTAGGTACATAATAAAATATTTGACACTAACAGAAAAAACTCAAAAACATTTAGTAGCAATTCTGCACAGTTTCATTCTATTGAACGTGATTCTTTTCATCCATCTTTCTCATTCAATTCTGTCATGCAGATGCAAAGTGCAAGCTATGCTATGATGCTATTACAAACAAAAATGACCATGCAAACAGGATGCAATTATTAAATTGTTAACAATAGAAATCAGTCACGCCTTCCTCACTCGGGCACTGGATTTAAGTCGTGGCCAACATTGCAAGCTATTAATGAGTCATGAGGATGCCGAGATCTGTTTTTGCAAGCTTGCAGCCCATCCTTGGATCACATTAACAGAGTGACTCAACAAGTATACACACTGTACCTGTTTGATTAAACACACTGTCAATGTCTGCACATTATTATTCTTACTTATGGTAGGGTCTACTATTAAAAGTATTCGCTCGATAACATTTTTATGTATTTATCTTTTAGATGTTTTAGTATGTCTTTGCCTTAGCTCTCACACTTTTTATAAACACAAAAAGCAATCCTTGTGATTACAACCGATACGTCTTTTTTATATTTTCTTTTCTGTCCATCTCATGTTGCGCGTTTAGATTTTTTGTTCTGAATCAGTTTCACAGAACTTTCTCACAGCAGACATTTTGACATGTCATAGCAAGAAAGGCACAGGTGGAACATTGTAGTGCAGCATCTTATAAGTCCCATCTGTGTTTGACATGTCAAAATATCTACTGTGAAAAAGATACACTCAACTTAAGATTCACGCCACAATATACCCCTGGTCATGTAATAGTTCACAGGAGCTGTGCTTGGTTGGATGTTTAGTCACAACATCGTCATGCCAAAGGTTTCGTACCTACATTTACAACTATGACTTACAGCGATAGACAAAGTCTTTGAGCTTACCATGGAGACGTCTATTTCCTCTGTTGGGCCATTTTCTTTCTGCCCTGCAGCAATTACAGTTTCTTCAGACATGATGGCTTCCAGCTCTGGAAAAACGCACACAACACAATGCAATCACTTCAATGGCAAATCCTCCAAATAAATACAGGAATCAATAACAAGTGTCTTCTCTCACTGCAGATACACTGAGGAGTTTGACTGCATAATAGTGATGTATCAGCTTGTGTCTTTACTTTATATGTACTATTAAAGATTTTCTGAAAGGAAAACTTCCCATAGGGACAATCACCCCTTTAATGTAAACAAATTAATCACTCTTTGAATAGAAAAACAGAAACCAAATGGTTCATTGATGGTACTCTATAATTATCTGAGATGGATTACGGGAATCTATCTTGGAAGGCTTATGTAACCGAACATGACTTGATGAATGCGAGGGGGAGTGGAAAAGTCTCAGAAATCAATCTCCATAAAGAAGAACAACAACTTCTGAACATCCACGAGAACCCACACTGAATATTCACATCTTTATTTCGAAACCATGAAACAACAGAAAGCTTGTCTCTGATGGTCTGTGATGTTACCTGATGCTAGGCCACTGTCAGGCTGTAAATATATCCCCTCATTCATAATGACACCCCACTCTCTGTGTGACGCACAGCACCAACCTTGCCCTCGACCTTTCTTTATTGGACTTGGGTCCAGTACAATTATTCCTGATGAGTGAAAATTGCCGACAGAGGAGTGCTGGAAGTTCACTTGCAGAAGAGTCTCTTTCACTTCCTGCTGGCTTATGTATGTTTGTTTTAGAGAACGCAGCCTTCTAGCTGCGCTACTGAGACTAGGTCACATGCACTGGTAATGTGATTGTGTCTGCTGACATACAGTGTACTGTTAAGCCAGAGTCTGCATGTGTGCATGAGACAGAGACTAACACATAACATATGAATATAAAGGGAAGTGTTGTCAGTCATATGGCCTAAGGTATCACAGATATAAACTGGTTCAGTATTTCCTGTTATGTAACATGTCACAAAGTATCCCAGTGTCCCACATGACCCTAATGTTGCAAATTACGGTGCTAATGTCACATGTTAAAAATAACCCTATTTTGCTTTTATAAAAAAATGAAATCCTAAAGAATAACTAAAACCTCATTAAAAAGACAATTGGCACCAAAAAAGCAAAAGGACTAAGCAAAGCATGTCTTCACAACAGCAATATATCACAATAAGATGTCACAAAAACCAGAAACCTCTGTGAGCACAATTATAGTGAGCTACACTGCATTTAGTTTCTGTGGAGCCATTGCCATTAATCACAGGAGGAGGACTAAATCTGATTTAGCATATTTGTTTAGGAATAAGACTTTGACAAACATATTGCCCTGTGATGTATGCGAGTGTGTGAAACTAGAATAAACCTAATCTGGGACTGAAATAAATCAGCGATTGCCCACCTTCAATTGCACTTTGTGAGTTGCCATCCACTGCGTCAAGGGTCTCTGGACTTTCATTTTCAACATGAGGTTCAATGGATGCTTCACTGTTTGTAACATTAGCATTGACATCTGAAAGTTGAGTGACACCTTGTGATGAGGACACATTAATCTCATTCTCTGAGCCCCTTAATCCCTCATCAAGTGACGTCTGATCTGCTGTCCTCTCTGAAATATCCAGTTTGGGTTGGTGTGGCACCAATTGCACATCTCCACTCTTTTCAGCCAAGTTTACTGCAGATTTCTCACTGGTTTCTTTATGATGGTCCCCTTCAAGTGGGTTAATCACATCACTTTCTTCTGCAACAGATGGACTGGGTTTAAATACAACCCTACTGGTGACCTCTGATGCCAAATACTCAATCCCAGCATTCAGTTCTGAGTCGTCCGCCTCTCCAGGTTTGCTTTCATCGACCTTCACCATTAAAGAGTCCCCGCTCTGTAACAGCGCAGGACCTAACGACAGATTCTCGTTGGAAAGTTCTGGGGCGATTTCCTCTCCTGTCCCCTCTATATTCAATGCCTCCATTGTCTGGAGGCTGGGTGACAGTTGTGATTCAGGCTCAGTGCCAGTCTGGCAGCAGTCTGTCACTGTCAGTTCACTGCCAGTGTCCGGTTCATTGTTTTCACCAGGTTTAGAATCATTTAGTCCCTCCATCTTTAATCCTGTTGAGGACAGTTCTGCTATCTTGGTTTGAAGCAAGTCCGGATTCACCATACAAGTATTGTCCTGAGTTGGGTGGAATATTTCTGTTGTGGAGCTCCCGACTGATTGGAAACTGCCATCATCATCACTGGAGAGGCCATGGGTAATCCCTAAATCAAGATCAGCTTGTCTATTACTGGATCTGGGAACCATTTCAGGTGATGGTTCAAGTGATGGATCTGTCTGTATATCTTCCATGGAGTTTCCAGTAGTCTGACAGTCAGCTATATCGTCAGGTTCGTCCGAACTAGGCAAAGTGGTACTTTCAATGCTGTATCCAGAAGGCTGAGCTACGTCTTCACGATCTAGTTCTTTACCACTGGTTGTTCCAGTACAATTCCCAGAATGACAACCAGTTTCTGGAGCCAAGCCCCGCTGCTCTGTAGCGTAATCCCTACCAGCTGTTTCCTGGTTTTGTTCCAGGCTGTTTATGTCTGGCGGAGGTTCCCCCTCGTGGAGGCCTTCTATCGAGGGACGTGGAACAGCAGATTCAGGCTCCTCAATTACATCACCGTAGTCCATCAGCGATGGGTTGGGGAGGTCTCCTGGGGTTGATGAAGGGTCTGTTAACCCTTTACTCTCTGCCCTCTCCTCATCTAAAGAGAGTCCGTCACAGTGCTCCTGGCTAAGTTTCATCTCTTCTTTCTCGACGTTCTCTCCTTCCTGACAGCACTCCTTCATTTCAGAATCAGAGGTGTCAGATACGTTAGAGCTCTCTGATGATGGCGTCTGGCCCATGACTAAAGCTTTCGTGTCTCCACTGGGCGTTATTAGATCTGTTGACTCAGAGTTGGTCTCCTCCTCCCTCCTTTTAGCTGTGCTGTCCTCTGCTTCCTGCCCTGATATATCCTTTCCCTCCGTGGCCTCCTCTCCTTCCCGGATCACAGCCTCCCCTCTATCAGTTTCCTCTGCCTGTTTACCACAGCCTGCTGGTGGTAGGATTCCCACAGTAAAGCTCTCTCCTTCTGCCTCACTCTGTGCTCCTTCACTCCTGTCACACAAACTCAAACTCTGGCTGGAAACAACAGGCTGCTCCCTTCCCTCCTCCTCTGTTTGGCAGTAATCTCTCTCAGTGTTTGAACTGGGACACACCCAGTCCTCTGGGGGTCCGAGTCCATGCACCTGGGGACGTACCTCTGACGCTGGAGTACTCACAGACAAACTCCAGTCTTTCTCTGCATTCCCAGTCTCACCGTGTCCACTATCAACACTACTGCTGCTTTCCACAAAGCAGTTTTCATCCCAGTTCCCTCCTGTTGTTGTATCCAGGCACTGGGATGCTTGAGAAGGCTGCTGTAGTCGCTCCAGACAGGTTATCTCTGTTTCTACACCATCACAACATTCAGCAGCGGTGTGGAGAGAATCAAACTGCAGCTCCAGTACAGAAACTCCCTGCAGAATATAGAAAAGGAGGAGAATAAACGTTAGCTTTTCCCTCAGAGAAACCAACAGAGCTGCTCTCTAGTTCTTATCAATCGCCAACTCTGTGATTGCATAAGGTGTTCCACCGGTTATACAAACTAAGCTTGAAGGTTAAAAAAACGAGGGCAGTGAAAAGACAAACAATCCAACAATGTTCAGCAGCAGCCCAGGTCCTGGGTGAAGCCAACATGAGCAGTGATAGCGTGCTAAAAGGGCAGGGTGGCGTGGTGACTCACCTTGGCATGGAGATGGCATATCATGTGTAGCAGCTGCTCCACGCTCCTCTGAAGGGTCAAAGGGTCGTGGCCAGGGTGGTTGCTCAGCGTCAGAGTGTGTGTGTTCAGCCTGGGGAGGTGGCAAACTATCCAGGCATCCTTAGAGACCAGCTGGACAGTCTCAGTCCCTTGGTCCGTCTCTGTGTCCGTCTCAGCCCTGCCGTGAAATAAACACTTAGATCATCCGGAAGGGTCTGAAGCGTGATTGGCTAACACAGCACAGAACTGCTTTCAATAGAAGGTTTAAACAGTGAGGTCAGCCGATCCACACTCCCCCTTTTCTTATCCCCGGTAAGGCTATTTTTTTCCTCCAGAGTGGGAAAGGCCATTGGTCAAATGCTGTGGTTGCTAGTCTATTCTAGCAGTTTAGTGGGTAATCAAGCAACCTATAATGATCCTGTCAAGTAATTAAGCAGATAGTAAATGTAAAAAAAAAAAGTTCCAGACGCTGTGGTCAGCCAACCAAAAATGTTACTTTACTTCCCAGTAGTAAAATGAAGACCACTCCTAGTCGATAAGCTTTCTGAGAAAACTTCACTCCCCCTGCTGCATTTGCTCTAAGTGTTGAAGGTGAAAGTATGTGCAGTGTTTTTGTTCATAAAGATAGTGCTGTAAAGGGGAGACACCTCCCAGTCAGGCAGATATGTTTGCGTAATCCTGGGTGGACTGCTTTAGCTGCAAGGCCTGATGGCTGAGGTCACCAGCCAGGCTGCAAGTTACTTCACTTTTCATGAGGGAAATGTAATTACCAACACATAAAGAGGGAGCTGTAAGTTGTAAAGCAACTTCAGTGCATGCTTCGTAATGAGCAAGCTCACAAAGTGGTAGTTGTCTTTCAGCTTGTGGCGTCTTCATTTTGAGATAAATGAAAACTATTATGCACAAGATAAGTCGAGTGCTTAGAAGACACAAAAAGGGTCCATTTCCACTTTAAGCCGCTTCTCAGTCTATTTACCAAAAAGCTGTTTTCCCCCCACAACTTAATGTTTAACTATAAAAGGGATGGGAAGAATTTGACCTCAGTAGTCACTCAGGCATTATTAGGGATAATACCTGACAACTGCAAACAAAATACATACATCCTCTTGCCATTAAACTCTATAGAGACAACACTGCTGTGTGTGTGTGGATTGAAGTAAAGTTCTCTCACTTGGTGAGATGTTGTGGAGAAGTATTACAACAGGTCAGTAGTCACAGAAGTCGTAACCAAGGCTTTTGTGCTGTGAATAGTTTCCCCATCTCTCTGGATTCTCTTGGAACAATAATGGCAGCCCACAACTTTTCAATTTGCCCTCAACTATCCTGCTGCAGCTGTAAGTGCTAGGCTAGGCAGTGGGCTTTGTGGCGATGTTCTTTGGATACTTGTTGTTCCGTGAAGGTAACAGACAAACAAGGTTGCCCTAAAGGGCCCAGAGGAACTGCTCTATCTGGCCCTCTAATACACTGACATGAGACTGTTTGTACAGAGAAGAGGGCAATGTTTTCTCTGTCAAACAGTGTGTACATATTGTTTTATTGTTTTTGAATTATGCTGAAACTAAACAGCACTGCATTAAAAAAAACTTACTATTACTGTCCAATTAAAAACAGCGTTTGACTGTGATTACAAGATGTGCTTACTTTGTGAGGAGCTCGCGGAGGCGTTCGTGTCCTCGGAGGGCTGCAATGGTGGAGGGGGTGTGGCCTTGTCTGTTGGCCAACCGCAGCGCTTCTCTCGCTCCAGACTGCTGCAGCAAGAAGTGCGTAACCCGAAAAAGACCTCGACGTGCTGAGAAATGCAGCAGAGTCTCCTGAGGATTCGGGTCTGAGGAAGAGACAGAGCATGATAAATTCAGGAATAAGCACAAGAGTACAGAAATAATCAAACAAACAAATAAAAAAGAACAGAGTAAGACAGAAGACTGCAGCAGTCCAGGCAACCAGTTTGTGGTGCAGTAGCTGACATGCCATTACTAGCTGCAGCTTGGCAACACCACAGTGCTGTCTAATTATCCAGTACAGGGTCCACAATGACCCAGAAAACAACAGACCTTTACACATTTACAGACTGATAAAACCACAGCTTGTCTGTCTTCAACATCAACACAGGTATTTGTAAGCTGTACTATCATTTTTGGATTAAAGCCAACATGCTTTTTTTCTCTTTTTTTTTTTTTAAACTGGCCATTTCTGGGCCAGGATGAGCGCTTGTTGGTTGGTCCAGAGATCTTCTCATCTCAGCTTTATGTCTGTGCAAATATTCCTCTGAATTCACTGGGGAAAATATTTACACATACAGAAGTTGGCCAATCTTTTCTGTTATTATTAAGACCTTCTAGTGTCCAGACACTGGCAAATTTATTGTCAATTTAAAAGTGCAACATGAGATAAGGCGTAAGCTTGTTTACAAGAGAGAGAAAGTCGTGGAGTTCAATAAATGGTTACTTCACAATTAAAGGTGGAACATACAGATCATTGGAGAGAAACACGTCCTTAATACGTTAAAACTGGTAAGTTAAAACACAAGACAACTGTACAAGTTCAATGCTGTGGTGTTTGAAGGCTCTCCACTACAGCACCCAGATGTCTTGTAATGCAGAGTCAGTAGTATACTGCACACATAATGCTCTTCTTTATCAAACCAGCTGGTCTCTGGTTATTAATAACAGCAGAAACTACAGGAATGTGAAAGATAAAATGTCCACGGTACTGTTGCTGAGTCCAGATTTCTTTGGACGGAGTGTTTCTTCACTGTTTTACTTTTTAGCTACATTTGTCACTGCCTGTGAACAGAGGATTTTCATCCTCCAGTGTCCATGCACAAATCCAAACATTATCTGAGCAAACAGGGAACATTCATGTTTTTGCAGACAAGCAGTTCTATATTGCAACTCCCTTGTCATTTCTTGTAGCTTTTTAATTGTGCCTTGTGCAGATTCCAGTAATTAGATGAAATCAGTTGGAAAAGAGTAAAAATAAAACGGCCGAAATGTGCGACAGATCGGTCAAAGGGGCAGAAAACACATTTTACTTTCTGTTATCAGCACCATAATAACCATTAGGCAACATTTACAATGCTGGTTGTGTCTGCTGATGAGAGGTTTCACTCCATTTACCGTGGGCCAGTCTGAACCACCCTGCCCTGATGAATTTCAAGCTAATTGGTCATATTTAATGCTCCACTTGGCCGAGCTGGGCCGGACTGGAATGTGGGGTGCCAAACAGCAGCAGGAAATACTTTACTGCTGCGTTTGATCACGGTTCCTCAAAACTAACTGCCATAAGAGCCATGCCATTTTTGTACTATGGCATCTGGGAGGGTCAGCTGTAGTTAGAGCCATTTAATGCAGTACAGGAATCACTAATGTTGGGTCACCATGAGCCAACAAAACAGCTCCACTGCTCCTTGGCATTGATCCTAGTCTAGCTGGCTATTAGTTAGCTTCACTAGCTATGCAAAAGTCAAATGTTGTTTTCTCACTCTTTAAACTTTCAACTAGAACAAACACACAGACACAACGATTATTTTCATTATCGATCGTTTTTGTTATTCATTAATTCATTATTTTGGTCTAAAAAGTTTAAGGGTAATTAGCTAACATGCTAAGATGGTGAACACATTACAGCAGTTAAACACCAGCATGTTAGCATTGCCACTGTGAGCATGCTAGCACCATAGGCTACAGATAGTTTGACACTGAATGTTGCTAACTGGTAAATTAGATGGGTGTTGTTCACCATTTTCATTGACATGCACTGTTCTTCCAGGTGAAATTAATTTCCCTGAGGACAATAAATGTCTGGCTACGGTGAAATCAGTGACTGCTGCGTGTCCACAGCGTGAAGGATGACTGAGATAAACCACCGTCACCTCCACCTATAGTCTGCCGCTATCCATCATCTGACAGATCTGATAAATGTAGAGCAGACTTTCACTCCTCCTCCCTCCCCGCAGTTCATCGCAGCTCAGCGTCTTGTATTGAAGCCGTGACATATTGTGAAGCAAAGCTTATTAGAGCACACATCACTCACCGCAGCAGGAAGCCGCCTTCAACATCAACAACATGACAACTGACTTCCATGCAAAAGAGCCTGCATGCGTCTGTCCATCTCTAAAAAGCTATAACACTTTTGACAACAGTAACAAGCAGATCTTATCTAATCGGCAGGAAGGTCTTTACTGAACATTTGATTTGATGACTTTTCTTTCCAGGCTCCAAACCAATAATGAATAAAACATTTTAAGGAGTCAGTGGACTTTCAATCCCCACTATGCACTTATTGAGTCTTAATTTTTTGTCAGAGTTCCTGCTGGTTCTGCTGGTTTGGTCTAATATGTAAGTTAAACCATGAGCTATTATCGTAACAATAGCAGGAGGCAGAGGCCGCGCTCTAACTACTCCCAAAAGTCTTGTTTATGCTGCTTCTCAGAGAGCAATTACCTCGCAGAGTTTATCATCCACATCAGCTCGTTTGGCTTCCTTTAACTGATTAAAGTCATCAGAGTCAATGGCTGGAGAAAATTGGCACTTTCATTTTAATAAAAAATGTAGGTTTGTTTGCACTGACATAGTTATTTCTCACAACCTAAACTGCTGTTTGGCCAGACTGCACAGCCCAGACACACTGCGCTCTGTTTGATCATACTAGTACCAGTCAGATGCACATATAAAGAGGTGTTTTCGTGTTCATGTCTTTCTGTTAATATAAGCGTCCAACTGAAGACATCAACCTTCCATTTGAAAGATGTATATAGCCTCCATTATTTCCACTGAGTGTCAAGCAGTTCTTAATAGAAGATCTATCATTCAGTCATTTTTCAGGTAAAAATGTCGATGATTCAACTTGATTATGTCTCTGTGTCTCTGTGTGGTTGCTGTAGCCTTGACTTGTAGTTACATTTCTGAAGAGAGGCACGTCAGTTATGGCGTAGCCTACGGCAGCACATGATGATTCATCCACAGACTTCGGAAGAAGACAATTGCTGCACTGGTACCTCACTTATAAACCTGCCTTTAAGCACTTTTGCCAATAAATCTGTCTAGGAGATCCTGTAGAACCGGTTATATGTTAAAATATAGCCATCAAATATCATAACTTCCATTTCTAAAAAACAATTTAGTCCAGTTTGAACAGGCAGCTGGATATCTTGTCTGGGCTGTGCTGTTTTCAGCAACAACACAAGACTTACAAAAGAATAAATCACAAGTCTCTGCTCCGTGAAATCAGTGTTACTTTCACAAAACACTAATAATATCATGTTTCTATGGCGGCTTGCTGACCAAGGACTGGCAAGTAATGGCTTGACAGAGCAATCTGTGTACTCTGGGTCTGGGAGTCACTACCAAGCATAACTCCTGCTAGCGTGGTACTACATTATCTGGCCGAAATTCTATACATTATCATGTGTTTCACGTATTTATTTTGAGAGTTGGGAGTTTGACGATTGAGTTTTTCTCAATTTCTTTCCCCCGTGTACAATCTAAGAATATATTAAGCTCTCTAAGTACCACCATTATGACTTTAAAATACAGTGGCCTAGGCCGACACCATTGAGCTATGGACAGTTCATGCCGTCACACATACCATAAAGTGTAATCATGGATGTATACGTGCTACATCCATGAGCGTGACTACGTAGCAGGTTGATAGTGAAATAAAATATTACAGGAAGGGCAAAACTTAGTTTAAATTACATTTCAGCAGTGGTTGAATATATTCATTTAAAATGTTATGTATGTATTTTGATAGTGTTAAATGTTTTTGAATTTATTTATTACATTTTTAAAACATTATTTCAGAGTTTTCTCTGCGTAACACAAGATTGTTACAAGAGCCAGTTTATGTACCACCAATGGTACCATAGTTTGAAAACCAGTGATTTAGATCATGAACCCCGCTTCCTGCAGCCTGTGTCATGCTGAATTTCAGACTAGTGCTCTGAGACTGAGTAACTTCCGCATTCACACAGACTACCTTCATCTGTTGGAACGCGCAGCTGCCGACCGTGATTAACCCAAGCGTCAGCGCTTCCACTGTCAGTGTAAAATGTGTTCAGTACCACCACAGTAATGACGAAGGTGCTTGTGAGCGTGTCGCATTAATCAGCTGCTGGATTTGTCTATAAAGGTAGAAGTTAAACGGGAGTCACTTCTACTAATTAGCAGCAGGACACACACACACACACACACACACACACACACACACACACACACACACACACACACACACACACACACACACACACACACACACACACACACACACACACACACACACACACACACACACACACACACACACACACACAGTGCAAAGCACAAATATACATAGACAGAACAGAGATTGTTAACTGTATATTGTGCACTCATCTGCATCAATCAGTCGACAATAAGTCGATTAATTGATTAGTTTTCAACTATTAAATTGATCGATTTATTGGTTTGAGTAATTGTTTAAGAAAAAATTTAATTCTCAGAATATTTTCTGGTTTCTTTAGTCGTCTATGTCAGTAAACTGAAAATCTTTGGGTTGTGGACAACAACAGTTCAATTGATATGCGGTAAACACTGTGAATGCTACTGCATGTGATACATAGACACACACACAAAGAGAGGTGCCATGTGTTTCATTATGTGCTGTACAACTATAATTTGTCGGTATGTTTCTGAATCAGTGCAGAGACATACTGTCTGACCCTTGGACATTTTATTGTGAGGAAATTACTTGTTACAGACCAGTCCACTGCCCTCCAGTCTCACCAGTGTTGTTGGTTAGTTTTCTCCCAAGTAAGCTCCATCCTGGAGGCAGCGTTAGATGGTGGAGGGCCAGCGCCAGGCTCTCGTCCAGACGTTCACACTCCTGCAGGGGAATCTGACACTCATCCAGCAGCAGCGCCCCATCGAGGCCGTCAGCCCGACCCGCCGTGCTCACCTGTGTGGAGGGTGATTACAAAGCTGAGTCAAGTTTTTACAGAGGAGGAGCTGAGGCTTAGTCTACTGGAAGCACTCGCTTTAAGACGCTCAGCATAAGAGCATTAGCCAAATGCTTGAAACGTAAGACGTAAATGTAGGAAGACACATCCACACGCATCTATCAATGCTAAGCTTAATTTGGGGCTGCGCTGTGTTGACAAAAACAAATCATATTCAGATTTAAAAAAGGAAAAAATGTTCCATTAGAAGCTTTAAGTCTGAATGCTCCAGACAGTTGCATTATCTTGTCCTCTTCCTTGGCAAAGCTAATTTTATATTTCTATGGGATGATAGATTGCGCTGAATAGAATTCATTAAGTGAATGCCGAGGACTGTGAGACGTCAAGACTTGTCAGGGAAGACACAATAACATGGCAATCTTTTGTCTTACTGTCACTTTGCCCACATTGCTGTATCACTTGTAACCAATGGTAACCACATTTTCTCCTCTTCTGTGACAAGCCTCAGTTTTTGTGGTTATGTTACAGCTTATTCAGAAATGGAAATGACTTGTTTTTGTTGCTCACCAGGAACTGGGCCATGTCAAAAGCCAAATCCTGGACAAAGTTGAATCGATGCTCGGCCAAAGGAGCCACGCGACCCAGACAGGGCTTTAGGTCTTCGGGGGTCATGGGGACACCTCGGCTGACTGAACACAAGGTGACCAACACCACCTCGCAACAGTCATGAGCTACAAGACAGTACAACAAAAAGAAAGGGTGAAAATCGAGACAGAGGATACACAATATAATATATTTATACAAATAAATAGGTTATATTCTTTATTCTCAGTGTATCTGAGTATATGACTAAATCCCCCATGTGTTAAACATTTTTATAAAGTTGAGTGTGCATGAGCAATTTGCAATGTGCCTGTTCTACATTAGCATTGACCGACATTAGCTAATTGCGGCTAGCGAGGTGACTTTAGCGACATTGCGGTCATAGCAACAACAAAAGTCACAAAAGTATAACAACAAGAAAGGCTAAATCAGCGGTACATAAAATAACTGTGATATTAAATGTGCCACGGTTGCGACCTGTGAAAGAAAAAAGTAATGAGGAAGCAACATAGAAGAAAAGGAGATGCTACGAGCTAGTTACATTCCACGCTAGCAGTGCTAAATCTCACAGGGTTCATCCAACACACACAGTTTTTAACTTATCGCTCACATTCACAAAGCTTCTTCATGGAACACCTTTTGACACATCACAGTACAAATGTAGAGGTGCAATTAAAAAAGTAATGATGATAAGCTCCTGCAGACAGAGCCATCGTTAATGTTAGTATTAACACCTGTCATTGTTCTACGATGACAAGTCAAACTAACATGGTTGGGCTTATGTTGTACTTCTAAAAGATCATTTGTTTCATTCATTTAATTCAATTGTATAGTTAAGTAGCTATAGGTTGTAAATTGTGTCAAATGAGACAAATTTTGCGACAATACTATGCTAACATCCCTCCCTACAGGAAAGCTTCCACACTCGCCATCGACCACCTTCCAAAAAAAACTAGATTTATTTGTTTGCATGAATTCAGTTCATTCAGTTTCAAACAGGTTTATCCGGTAGAGGTAATAAAATAATTACAATGCTACAAGACACAAACAGATCATTAACTAAAGATTACCTTCAATATTGACCTCATAAGAACCAGTCATTACAAATCATCAGTGGTAATACAGTGCAGACTGGCACCACTGACTAACATCATATCTAATTAATACCAATAAATCTGAACATAATTTGACTTAATGAAACACATGTTTTAATTCATCTCACTAATACCTATCCAGCAGTCACGAATCAAACTCAACCAACCAACAAATTAATTGAAGATTTATGTTAATCAATTTTCAGTTGTCATAACAAAACGACTGAACAAAAAGGACTGCAGTCCACATACATGGCCAATGTCAAAACACAACTTACGGGGAATAAAGGCTGTGTGTGGCTGTACGGCTGTAAATGCATGCAGTGCTTGTAATTTACAGGGCATTACACGGCCTTCTGCATCAATTTACTTCCCAAATGCCAAGTCCTCCAGTGTGGATGCAGGACTCTCTAAGAGGAAACCAACTGGAACCGACCCTTCATTCCTACCGTATCACACAGTGTTGCTTGTCTCTACAAACATAGTTATACTTGGTCACTTAGCCACTCCACTGAGGTTTTAAATGCCTTGCTCAAGGGCGCCTTGATCCAAGTCCAAGAGTACTGATTCAGTGTATGTGCAGCCATTTTCCCAGGCCACCGGGGAACTCTACCCTGCAACCTTCTGCTTGGTCACAGGACTGGCCCTTTGGAGCTCTGTGTGTGCTGATGGAGGGAGCAGGAAAGCAAAGCTAATCTGTTAGTAGAGAGTGACACTTCCTCTGACCCAACCACCCACCCCGACCCCTCCTCTCGCTCGGGCGGCTGTAATTCAGCCAAACTCTTAACAAGATAACACAGTTTAACATGTTCCGCCTTCTTTTCTCCTGCCAGGGACGCAGACACTTGAGGAAAAAAATGAGTTCAACAACAACTTTTTCTCAAGTCTTTCCCCAACACTTTGCTACCATCCATGTTTCCTACAATGGTCGTAAGTGTTCTGTAGTTGCACCACCTATTTTTCTGTATAGGGTGCCCTTTGACCCTTGATTTCTGAGCTGCCCGTTGTTGCTCATTCACCTCACAGGAAGTATCTCTGACTTTCACACTGGCTAAATACGCTCGATTTTGCAAGCAGAAGCAGTGGGATGTGCTCCAAGAGGAGTGATGAATGAGCCAGGCTCTAGGAAAAGTAAAATGAGGTGATTTCTCTCTCCCAAATCACAACATTAGTTTAAAAAACGAGGACAGTGGTGGTGGATGATTAATCATTTATTACTTTAACTTTCTTCCACAGCTATAATAACTCCTGACTGCCCAATGCCTTCTGTGTGAAGTCAGGGTAGAATAACACCATCCCCTTCTTAAATCAATTAAACAGTCTGAATTTTGGCATTTGGAATACTTTAGCACCTCTTAATGTTAATTTGGGTAATAGCACATGCTGGCTATAGAGAATCCACCAATACAGGGTATCTGACTTTCAGTGAATATTCATATATTTTTATTTTACATTTTTAGTATTTATATTATATTAGTATTTATTTTAATTCTTTATTTTGACTTTATTTTGTTTATTATTATTTACCAACAGTAATCTGGGTAATCTAAAGGGTATCTGCAGCAAGGACTGTGCTATCACTAAACACAGACAAATTAAAAACAGATTTAACATGTATTAAATACTGTAGGTGGAGCTGCTTTCCCACAGGTCCATTAGAGATAACACAAAAGCTGCAAGGCCTTGTGGGTGGGTTGGCTTACCGGGACACACTGCCTGCAAGGTGTCATGATTGCTCCTTAGGGTGCTGGTCAGGTGCCTCTGTGTGCTGCCAGCAAACAACAGGAAGTAGTCCACGCCCTCCTCACCAGCCAGCTCTTCATCAGCGAGCTGCACTGTGATAACACACCGCCCCTGCACAGAGGGGAGAGAGAGAGAGAGAGAGAGAGAGAGAGAAAGAGAGCGAGAGAGAGAGAGAGAGAGAGATAGGTGAACAGTGAGAGGAAGGAAGAAAGAATAGAAAGATAGATTAAAGCAAGAAAAACAACAACTTAATTTTTAAGTAAGTTTCTATTGACTGATTTCCCAATACAAAGCACTTCTTGACCAAGTATCTGATGAGACGTTTAACCTCTGCAGTTATAATAAGTTTTAAGTAAAACGGTACCTAGTTAGGTAAAAGAAGTTCATTTTCTAAAAGATCCAGTGTGTAACATTTAGGAGGATGTACTGGCAGAAATGGAATATTCATAGGTATGTTTTCATTAGTGTATAATCACCTGAATATAAGAATTTTTTTACCTTAGAACGGGCCATTTTTATCTACAGATGCTGCGGGTCGCCTGTAATGTAGATAGGGCCTTTCAGGTTTTTCAGGAGTTTCACAGCCACCGTAGTTTCTCCTACACACGTCACAGCCGTTTGCATTTACCCACGTTGTAAATACAGACAGCAGTGTTCAGCTGGTTGCAATCTGAAACTTCCCAGCTAGATGCCACTAAATCCTACACACTGACCCTTTAATTAAGACATTCACCCTCGGTGCTAAAGCTCATCTTGGCTGATTCACAATCAAGCAGACAGCTCTAAATATATGTGGGAATGCATTTCGATCACAACTGTCAAGCCACATTTGGAGCCGGTCAGGGACACAGTGGAGTGTGCACAAGAGTGACAAATGCACCCCTGACACAATTTAACACAACTCTTAAGGTTTTAAAGTCTCCACAGCTGAGGTAAAAAGTACAGTTTCTAATCAGACTCCTCAGTGCTCAGCACTCTAGCTGAGTGCATACTCATCAGTCTCCCGTAGATAAAATCAAAAGTGATCAGGAGAGTGAAATCCAATCACACTTGGCCACTTCAGATGCATTTAAGACAAATGCTAATGCCAGGTGTGAACTACAATCCTTCCCAGCTGGATCTAGTTACAGATTGGATATCTCGGTACCAAATCTTAGCAGTGTAAAAGTCTGCGTGGAGGCTGCCAGTCTTCTCAGCATCACACTTGTTTACAACGATTCCACTAATGCCTCAAAGTTAATATGGTAATGATTTATTGATGTTGAAATGCTACACATCGCATCATTAACACACAAACAGGGAGGCAGCAAGCAGCTTGACTTTCTGCCAACTCAGCGAGCAAGCTCCGTCAAGTTCAGACCGCAAAGGAGGAGTACGAATGTTTTACAGAAGGAGGAGGTGAATTCAGCTTAAAATCAATTTATTCATACATCATTTGTCAGCTATATTATGCTTGCTACAATATCACGTGTCTTGCCAGTGTCCACTGTGAATATACAGTGATCCATAGCTCATTGTGCTTTCTGCAGTAACAATTGGCTATGTTGTGGCAGGAGCGTTGGGGGGGTGTGATGTGGTGTCAACTGAGGACAGACTGAAGAGGAGGAGAAGGCCCGAAAAATAGGGATATTGTTCACAGTTAGCTGTTTTCCACTGTGGGATTGCAGCTTGTTGACACCGAGGAAGGATAATGGGACATTTCATCCCACTTAATCTAACCAGTGTTGCAATCTTTTCACCAGCCAGGTCCAACACGAACAGCCTGACGTGGCCGGTGTCGAGGGGAGCTTAACAGTCAGGGTTAAAGGTGCTTCCTCCTTCTCTTATAAAGGGGTAGCCTCGGGGCCTTGTTCCATACGAGGGGGGGGGGATAAGCAGGTTGACAGCAGCGAGGCAAACCAGCAGCTTTGGGATTGGCAAGTCTCTGTTTGGCAAGCTGCTGCTGAGAAATGTGAGGGGGAAAAAATTTGTTCAAAGGCGACCACATAGCCCAGAGGCCACAGGAAGAGAAACAGCCTGCAGGAACCTTGTGAGAGCCGGGACTAAACACATCGACTTGCAGCATGAAGGATCCAGGCTTTGCTATGCACAGGGAGTGTCAGCTTTAACAAGCAGAGCAGGAGCACTGGCGTAAATGAGTTGTAGATGGGTGGAAGCCAGCAGGCATGACACTCTCTCCATTAAAAACTCATCTTTTATTCCGGGCCCTGATTGGAAATTAGGGTTTTGAGATACTAAACGGATTGGTACCTCAGTTGATTTGGGAGTTCTCACTCCATGTGATAGTGAAAATGTATTAGGGTTAAATAAGTTCCACATCCTCAATATGAAGAGAAAAAAAAAGCAAAAGGAGAAATTGTTTTCTCTCTTCTGATGAAAGCTTGTGGCAAATCCCCTCAGTCACAGTATCAACATTAGCAGCTCAAATGATTTCTGACAGCACGGCAGCACCTCTCATTTTGTCAAAATTAATATCCATCCATTAATAACATCATAAGATACTGATTTTTCAAACTTGCCCGAAAACAAATTAAATAAAGAATACAGTCCTGTTACTTTTTACCTCCTCAGTTATGATCTTCTTGTAATCAATCTGTGATCTATGAAAACTCTGAATAAAAAGAGAGAGAGACTAAAGAGCAGAACAGAACATCATCACTGAATAAGACCATTGTCAGTCCTTTTTGGAGGCAAATGTGTTGGCAGGGGGTGGAGGTGGAGATGTGAAACATCTGTTGGAGACGGCAGGAAACACAGCTGCACACAGCCACTTTTACAAAACATGCAAAAACACACACACACACACACACACACACACACACACACACACACACACACACACACACACACACACACACACAAACTAAGCTAAAGCTACTGACACTGAGTCTAATAATAACAATAACTAAAATGCAAAACAGAAAAATTTCAAGTGACTCTCTTGGGTCTTGCTGAATTTAGAAAAACAAACCAGCGGTTTTAAAGCTGTGTGACGTGCATAAATGGATGTCTTTCAGCCACACCATATGACTGTGCTCACTGCTGGTAATAAGTACTTAACAAAGTGACCTGCTGGGGTATTGACCTGCTAATCATGGAGCTTCGACGGCAAACAGGCAACATCAAAAGAACAGCTGGAGGCTATGAGCCCATCCCCCTCTTTTTAAATATGCATGTGTGAGCGAAGCCTTTTCTTCACATCCTGCAACTGTACTGGCTTCAACTATTCAGGTATGGCTGATTTTAGGCCTTTATCACACACACACACACACACACACACACACACACACACACACACACACACTCACACTCACACTCACACTCACACACGGTGCGCAAACGCACACACACACACACACGGTGCGCACACGCACACACACGCACACACACACACACACACACGCACACACCCACGCACACACACACACACGCGCACACACACACACGCACACGGTGCGCACACGCACACACCCACGCACGCACACACACACACACACACACCCACACACACACACACCCACGCACACACACACACACACGGTGCGCACACGCACGCGCGCACACACACACACACACACACACCCCTGCGGTGCGCACACGCACGCACGCACGCACACACAAATTCTCACCAAAGCAGCTTGAAGTTTGCTTCGCTTCAGCACCCAAACTAATTGTCAAAACACCCCATGGCACTTTTTTGTCTCATTGTGTCTCATCATTAATTACTGTAACTGCAATAGACCTACCTTTCTGCTTTTTACTCAGTCTGGTTGCATGGAAACTGCTTTAATAACAATAAAAATAGTTGCTTAAACAACACACATGTTCTGTAAAGAGCCGCTGTGATAAAAAGTTCAAGGTTTATGGCTGCACTTTCCTGTGTGATTCATCCCTACTGGAATTCAAATATACTGTCATTTTTTTACTAGCAAGTCTAGCTTGCAAAATGTTGCCGCTTTTATTCCTACTAGAAAATGTACAGAAATCTTTCCAGCTTGTTGGTAGGTTTGACACTGACATGTAAAATTACCAGAGCATTTACTGAATAAACTATCCTATCCAATCCAATCCAACTTTATTTGCTAAGCACTTTAAAACAACTAAAGTTGACCAAAGTGCTGCTGGCATTGAGAGCAGGTCTTTTTTAGTGTCAAGGACCTCCAAATTGAAACATCAGCCCGTGGACTGAGAAGGTGTAGTGTCAGGGTTCTTTGTCTGATAAAATGAAGTTGTTCCATAATGAACCAATTTGGAAGATTAAAACTGAAGACTGTGAAACCAAAATCTTGAAATTAAAATACTCCCCATATTTCTGGGGATTCCCTGGAACTCCCTCTAGGACCCCAGGTTGCATCCTTCATCAACGTAGTAGTGCAGTTGCAAGCTGACACATAGCAGAGAGGCTCCAACACCACAACTGCTTCTGTGCCCACAGTCATGTGTCCTGTGTTAGACACTGAACCCCTTACCTGCTCATTTAATTGTAAACCGCTATGGAAAACATTGTCTGCTAAATGCTAAGAATGTAAATAGCATGTTTACTCACAGTCAGAAGAGCAGAGTCGCTCTCTGTTATTGAAAGAAGACTTTCTTCAAGAGCTTCCACATGTCATCCTCTGCCCCACAAATCATATAACTATTCCCACTCCCTCTAATTGCTCTGCAGAAACACTCTTTACCCACCACTTCCTCATTAAAAAATCATTCTTAGGCCAAAGTGATATTGCAAGAACACCAAGGCCTTGACCTTCGCCCCCCTTACTGTTGGTTGTTTCTACAGTGGGTGTAGAAATTTGGGCAGTCAGTAGTCCCCTACATGTGTACTTTTAAAAGGTGCAATTACAGGCCGACTACTTAACCTCTATAAGCTATCTTGCTGAGAATTGCTCCTTTAAGTGTCTAAAATCTGATGTCTAATGAGGCCTGACAGCCCGCCTGGTTCCACTGAGGAGTCTGACTGTAAATCACAGATAAGGTTGTCTGGGTGGTTAATGTGTGAGCTAGTCTTTTAACACACACACACACACACACACACACACACACACACACACACACACACACACACACACACACACACACACACACACACACACACACACACACACACACACACACACACACACACACACGTCTCTGACTTATCTCATTTCCTCTGGGCCTTCCTCACCTGCTGGAGATAGGGAACCAGTACGACCACTCAGACACCCAATCAGAAAAGCCTTCTACTCACAGACACAGCACGTGAAACATGTTTCATAAAATTCCTGTGCCATGATGGTAACTGAAGACATTTTAGGATTGTTTTAAGTTAATGCTACATGGAGTTAGGAGTGGAAGAAAATATCAATACACTTGAGTATTGCGATATTATGTTTTGTGATACTGTATCAATTCTCAAAAATTACACTGTATCAATTTTTAATTAAGAGCTTACATGAAAAGATTCATGGCAGTGGTTCATTTTGTGTTGTCGTGTTTAAACCCCCGCCTGCTAATGTTGCAATCTATCTTTAGCCATTTTACTCTTCCACTCCAACGCTCCCAAAAAGTAGTGCTATGATATTAGAGGGATGTTACAGGGACTGTGATAAATACAAATGCAGATCCCACTGTTCTGATTGCAAAAAAAACAAAATTAATTTTATGCATATGGTGGTTTGTTCTTTGCACAATCACAGCTTTTCTATATCACCTTGCTTACAGTATTTCCCTCAAGATAAATAAAGTATCTATAATCTATCTATAATAAAGTATCTATCTATCTATCTATCTATCTATCTATCTATCTGTATTGCAATATATTTAATCATAATGCATATCATATCGAAAGATTCTTGCCAATACACAGCCCTAACTGGAATTGTAATTAAGACCAATTTAAAACCTCATAAAATTAGGTTAACAAAACCAGACTGGAAAAAAAGTGGGGGAAACCAGGCATATTCAGGTCTTATTCACAATTGTGGGTAAGACAGATCATGAGATTGATCGTTTGTTAGGAGCACCGGGTGCAGAAAGCTACATTGTATGATAACATGTGATGACAACCAGGAAATCGAGCCACAAAGCAAAGCTTTCAATTTATAAACTGAACCTTCACCTATAGCAACAAGCTTTGGGTAGTGACAAAGAATAAGACGGGAGATTTAAAGTTGCTGAGATAACCTCTGCAGAGTGACTGCCACATTCTGCATGATACGGTGGGTAGTTCAGTAATATGAGAGGACCTCAGCAACAAGCTGCACCTCCTGCACCTGAACCACCTCATCTGGCTCCTCTGGTGAGCAGACCACCCAGGTGAATCCTTCCGAAGGACAGAAAGGACACCCCGAATTAGACTGAAGTCATTCTGGGGAAAAAAGAGTTTGGGGGAACCCCAACACTGGCAGGCACAGGGTGTCAGAGAAAACACACTTACATCCCCAATCCAGGTAGGTGGTTAAAAATGGATGAAGTGACAAATGGTAGATGGTAAATCTATCTTTTTTTATCATACATCCTATAGACCAGTAAACAAAAGCAACTTTGCAGAGCAGCATGATCTTTTAAACAGACACACTCACTCACACACACACACACACAATGAAAACACTTCAGCTCACGGTTAACAAGAACATCAAGCAATCAAGTGGTCACTCGTCTTCTTTGCACAAGGCACCGGGCTCTTTGCTGTAATTACCTGCTCACCTATCGATTTGGACAAATGGCACATGTCCAGGTAAACTCTGCCTCAATTTGTCCTTTTCTGTATAATTATTTAAGTTCCAAGGCCCCTTTGTGGACCAGTAACTGTTCTTTGATCGAACTGTGAGGGGTATTTGCTCCTCTTCAACCAAAATCGGACCCACAACAAAGCCAGTGCAGCCTCGACAAAGTAGATGTTCGTTTTAGGTTGATGGGGAAGAAAATCACATGAATGGGTGGCGCAAGATACTGACACTTTCATGATCGGGGGTTTTATCCTAAATAGAACCACCACACAAAAAAAAATTTTCCTTGGATAACAAAGATGGGAGATGTGTTATGAAGAACAGTTTCCTATGTCTTGTTTCTGTCTCGTGTTAGTCATTTCCTAATAAATTATCTTGGTCTATTTTTGTAATATCACCAGTCCATCAAGTGATTGTTATTTCATTAAACTGATAATATGTAAAACATGACCACTAAATACATAATAGAGGACCGTGAGCACAGTGCAAACCATTAGAAATGTTTGCCAGTCAGCGAGCATTAAATAGCGGGCTGATTTGCATGCAGTCTAATGTTGTGTCCTCCACTATCTGGCCCCGAACACCCACGCAGTTGTTTTCAGTTACTCCAGTTAATTAGACCTGTTCTCAGGCTGAAGTCAGGCCGAGCTCTTCCAGGAACTACATGAGGTCATCTGACTCCATATACCGTACTAATAGGAATGATAAAGGCATACGCCGTCCCGCCTCAACAGGTGCAGCAAACGAACATTCAGGCACCGCACACACCTACACAGTCCTGAGACGGGGCTTAAGTAGGCAAAGTGACAACACCTGTGTGGGTGGAGTAACGGCGTGTAAGAGACAGACTGCGCACTCAGAGGATTCCTTGTATGAATAGTGATACTTACATACAATGGAGCCTGCTGTGGATTGAGTTTCATGTCCTTGGACACTGTAAAGAGAAGAAGAAATGAACAAATGGTTATAGCTTTGTGATATGTTACACTGTATATACTGTGAGGGGAAACAAGATAATGTGTTCAATTGGTATTAATTCATTATTAACCATATGGGGCAGTGCTGTAAACACAACATTAACATATTAGTACCTAATGAAGCTGATACGGCTCATGTGTTAACCGCCTATTTAACAGCAGACCTGAAGCAGCATTAACATCCGTTTGAAGTCATGTTTCTGGCCTCCTAACAAACAGTAACACTTTCCTTTTTAGCTCTGTTTTGTGCTCCACTAACTCCTGAGGGAAATATCTGGCTTTTCCTCTGCTAAAGGCTCCACTATGTTCACCAGCTAGTCTCTAGCTCGTGATTGCTGTGTGGTTCTAGGCCAGTAGTGCACAGTGGGTAGGCTAAATCAGAGCTTTTCCAATGAAAACGGCTGCCTGCTGCGGCTGGTAGGTTGAAATGCAGAGTAATAATAATTCATCACTACAAGTGACCCCTTTCACATAACATGTAGTCATTTGAGCCATTGTTGAAATCAGAAAAAAAACTATAATAAATCCACTATTTGCTATATTCTCAGCTCCAGACAGCAGACAGCCAACTAGTTGGTGTACACAGTGGAGCATTTAGCAGGTATTTCAGCTACATTACTCTAGGCTAACAATTATAAGCAATACCCCTGGATTACGCGCTAGTATTTAGGGCTGCTCCCGAAGATTTGATGATTCAAATCATCAGTTCATTAGCTGCATTTCCACCACAGGAACTGCTTATATAGGAAAAAAGAAGAACAAATATTCAAGTTTTTGTATTGAACAGCCAAGAGTCAGGTACAGCCCTGCTAGTATTTCTAGGTATATCTTTATGCTTTGGATGACGCTGGTCAACTGCAGATGGCTCTTAGTTACCCAGATATTAAAATATCAGTGCAGTTCTCAGTAGGGTTGCCTAATAGTCGACTTAATCGTAATCATTAGTCAGATAGTCACAGAAAAACAAAAAAACAACATCAAACTCCGCTCTGGGCTGCGCCTCGTCCCCGGAATGAAAGTTTTAGGGGATTGTTGCGATATGGCCTTTTTTTCTTGTAACAAAGGCAGTCACTTACTGCGGCACTGTACATTGACAGAACTGTAGCTGCTCCGCTAGCTAGTTAGCAATCCTGACTATACCCAGACTGGACTATGTGTTTACACTGCATTGAAATAAATGTTTTAACTGTTTAGTCTCCTTGCTGGTTGTTCTGACACGTTCAGACTAGTCGTCTAGGATATTCTTTAGTCGGGGGCAGCCCTAGTTCTCAGTGAAATGAGCCGCTAGAGTGTTTCGTTGGCATGAAACCCCGAAAACAAATTGCCCTAGATAACAGAACACTAGACAACAGGGGTTTTTTTTAAGGATTTTTTACAAAATGCACATATACCAGCTCTAGCAGCATCAGAACATTGCTGCTGACAAGGTGACAGTTAAGCTTGACCCTGGCACTAGTCCCAACACTCTGTGGGATGTTAATAGTGCATGAGTACAGAACAGACACATACTGAATCACACACAGGAAAACACAGGAAAACACACACACACACTCACACACTCACACACACACTCACACACTCACACACTCACACACACACTCACACACACACACACACACACACACACACACACACACACCATCCAGCCATAACTGCCTGGTCCCTATTTGTGCTTGTTTGTTCAAAGACAGCCGCAGCAATGATGACAAAGTTTTTGTCCACTTCTGCCTCCTCCAATCACCCATTAGTCTTTCACCAAGCAGAAGAAAGAAAACAGGTTGAGTACCAAAACACACTACTTTGCCTCTTCTACATGGGTTTATGCAGGGACGATCAGTTAGCAGGATTTACCGGCTCATGTTCACGTTTGATTCCCTACTCCCAGTCTGGGACGCAGGCCTCAAAGCCGTGTTCTGGGCACAAGGTCAGAAGCAGTGGGTGTGTAATTACATCCAAACAAACGTAGTACAGCTATAGACTTGAGGACAAATGGATTGGAAACCTTTTTGTTGAACTTTCTTGAAGAGATATTGGCCCGCTTGCATTCATCAATGAGTCAAGGGACTGGTCAGCTTTGAGAGCCTGCATTCTCCTCAGTTATTTGGAGAGACAATTTTCTTTTGTTTGCTGTTCCCTGGCACTAAAACAAGTCCTTGCTGCTGGCCTCAGTGGTCAGCAGTGCATTAATCACATGAACCCCACAGCAGAGGAGGCGGCGACAAAAAGCCAGGACCTAATGAGTTCAGCAGAAAACACCAAAAGAGTCAATGTTGGACTCGACAGAGCGCTGAAGCGCAGCGAGGCCAATTCACTTTCTGCAGCCCAATCCAAACATTTTTCCTCTTTTCTGCTAAATAAATAGGCTCGAGTTAGAATTAGGCGGATCAGGTAAGGGGATAATCAGTAGCTCTAATAATACTCTAGAGTGTAATCCTCTTGCCTTAAGTGCACTGGGCCAGGGACCAGCTTCTTCAACACATGCACAACTCTGACTGATAAGACTCTCACATAATGTCCCCAACAGGCTCCCTGGTTCTTTTATATTTTGGTATTTTGGACATTTCTCATGTGCTGGTGCTCTCTTTATGACTGCTCCATGGGTTTGGTGTCTTACACCACAGGGTGCTTCAGCAAGCCCGATCGACATTATTGTTGACTGTTGAAGGTGTTGAGGCTGTGACCTTTCATTCACATGACATCTTATTGACCACGAGTTTGCCTAACCAATTGCACAATAAGAAAATATTTTGTAGGAAGTGGGTGCGTTGCTACATTCAGTTTTTACTGTTGAGGGCACAGTTGATAAAATGTATTCAGCGAGGAAGGTTTCTGTGGCCTTTATCAGCTTGGCCCTACTTTACATTCTCTACACATTCACACCTGGCAGCTGAACACAACACCAGTCTGTAATGCTCACTTCTTTGCTGTTGTTAATACCTCAATCCTCCCAACCAGTTGGGGTACACTTTGCACCTGCATCTGAAACTATATTAAAACTTCTGTGTTTATTAAAAAGCCTTTTTTTAAATGTTTATATGTATCTATAAAAAAAAATGGTTTCATTTACTGTTTCAGCTTTTTATTCTATCTATTACACAACTTTTAAAAACTGTTGAGTGAATGAGTTTAGGGGTATTATACCTGGGTGTTACAGGTGTATATATTTGATGGCAGTGTGATATCAGAATAGCTTTCTAGAGTTTCATGATGATATAGAAATACAAACAAACTGCTCTTTTATTTCCATTAATAACATCATACTTGCATTTTATTTGCATCGTTGACAGTGGAACGAGAATTACAATGAGTGTGCATTGTAATGGGCTTACATGACCTTTAACCATTGCCATTCCCAAAACAAGCCACGTGCACCATGCAACTGTCCACCTACTGTGGTCACTTCTGTTTTTCTGTTATGATTCGGGGAAGGAAGTTACTCATAAAGGAAGCTGATTCAGAACACTGCATCATCACAGGATGTAATTGCTCCACTGGTTGCTTTAGATTCATGGAGCGGCTTGTAATATTTCTAAAACTTCCACTTTAACGTGACTGTCAAGCTAAGCTAGTTAGTCCATCTTAAGTAGCAAACATCTATAGGGCTGCAGCTATCGAATATTTTGGTAATCGATATTCCATCGATTCATCGAGTAATCGGATAAAACATACTTTTGCTTAATTAAAGCCCAATTATAAATATACAATAGAAAACAAGACAGATCACTGTTTTCAGATTTCAGTCCCAGCGTCTGCCGTTCTGTACAGCAAAACTGTCCACACACGTTACAGAGCCCGCTTCCGTCTTCTTCCGCGTTGTAGGGGATAGCCTGTGATGTAAGCACGTTGTGTCACACTAAAAAGAATCTGTGAAAAACGCGAGCTTTACGAGGCTTCGAGGCAGACGAAATTCCTCGATCATTCTTTGTAATCGAGTTACTCGAGGTACTCGAGGAATCCTTGCAGCCCTAAACATGTAGCAACCTGAGGAGAAGGTTGTAGGCCTGTGTGATCAAGCTATAGTTGCTCCCACTATGGTCTAATAGGTGTTAATGTTGACAATGTACATCCAATATATAAATATCTCCATGTTCGGCTTTCTACACCAGCCTCCAATCTCTGGCTCTTATTTTGCTGTTCTGTGCTAAACAGCTAGCATGCATTTGCCTCATCTGAGCTTATTTGCTACAACTGTCTGCCAGCTGTTTTATACAGGGGTTGATGAGACCAAACAGTAAATCAAACCGAACTACAACAATGAGAGGATACAAGCTGTGTGGAGCTGCAGAGTTGGGTGTTAAGTCTCTGGGTTCATTTCTACAAGACAAGGAGTCACTTGATTCTATGATAACATTGAAACATACCCCTTAATGCAGGTTTGATATCTGTCCACCAGACTGCCTTTAATCTGTTTTCTCGGGTTGACCCCATGCTCGTACAGTATGTGGGCGTGACATATATATGGTCAATAAGCAACTATCATTCAGGAAGTACAGAGGGGACTTCTAAAATAACTACATCTGTAGGCCATTTATAACTACAACTCCAGTTATACATAGGCTACTACAGGAAATGCAAGACTCAATAAACTGACTGCTGTATCACAAAAGGCTGCAGTAGAGGTACACAAGTTCCTGGCAATGTGCTGCAACAAGATATGTTGGTGCTGTGGATAATACTTGGACTTATGGGTCAAGTTACAGTGTACCTGTCAGGATATATCCGTTATAATGGTAAAACTGGAGAACCTGAAGACATTAGAAACCAATCTTTCCATCTGTATTTTTCTCAGGTGATGGAAAAAGACAAAGCCAAAGTTTAATTAACTAAATGGGCCAATAAACCAATCCTCTTTAGACAGTAACAGGCTTTTGCACCAAATCACACCATAAAAAATTCTTATCTGTTTTCTTCAAACAAGATGTAAATGAATACCTGCACATAATCCATGTAATTCAGG